CATTTCTAATAAAATGATGTATATAAATATTGGATCTGAGGGTTCCGAAGTTAGTCTGGTCTGGGGCTACTCTTGACTTGACAAGAGCTCGTCGTTATGGTCGTTATAATGTGAGTTGATATTAGGTCCTTATATTCATTGTTGTTGATTCATATTTGTCATCACTTCACTCATAATGTTTCATGCTATTATAAATATTGTTATGTTTGAATATAGTCTCATACTTTCAGTTACCCCTAAACTATTAGTGCCTATTTGAATATTACCTCTCGCCAACCCTTTTGTTGTGACAATATTCCCCTCATAGTGCATGATATTTTTAAAACAAAATCCAGCAAACTTTTTGGGAATAAAGTGTTCTTTGGAAGGTGAATTTAGGTAAACAGGTTCTACTTGACTTTTTACAACATAATCATCGAAACCCTCATTGATAACATTCTTTACTGTTTAAAAATTCTACTGTTCATGAGTAAAGATATAATCAGTTTGAAATATGTTTGTTCTTTTACCACCACCTCAAAAGAAGTAGGTATTATATTCATAATAGACATACATTTGAAAATATACCTATAGGTATATGAGTAACTTCCAGTGAAGTGTAAAGAACAATATCTCAGACACTTCACACTTTTTCCAATCTTCAAGTTATGAATCCACACCTTTCTCCTACCGATCACTTCCTTGTTTCCCAAATTATTAGTTTCAAATACAAATTTAGACTGTCCTGATTTTTGAAAGGAATGAAGGGATTTTTTTGCAAGATGAACAATGAGGTACCTACACAACAATGATGACTCATGTTTTCAAACGTTTATAGAAGTTCTCAAACAAAATTATAGACAATTAGAAACACAACTACTTCTCATACAAAATACACGCAAACTAATAATGTAAACAAAGCAATCAATGGCCCATACGCTAGTTATATATTAGACAACGGTAGAGGGAGTACTCCTTAGCATGAATCGCCTATAAAAGATCCGATTTTATTAAAAATTGGTATCTAGGGGTTTTCGGGGTAGGAGATAATGATTGTTTTGTCAAAATTGGAAAATTCAAGATGACAGATCCAATATAGCAAAAGATATTAGTTCATTAATTATTACTCTACCACGAATAGAGAATATGTGGGATGCAAGAGTGAAAATAACATGCCTATAAGTTATACTGCGTATACTAAGCGTCTACCTTACTTCTCTGTTACTTTCATCAATAAATTATTCGAAAATGACTTCTTATTTGAAAGAGACGGAAAAATCATATGTTTAACATGAGGGATATTTCATTCACATATTACCCGTCATGGTTGAAGCTGATAATCCGATTTCATTGTGCTTAAACAGTGACACGTCATTTCCGTTTGGATACACCTCCCCTACCTGCCCTTGGGATTACCAACTCCAACGTTGGTAAAGGTGGTCAATGTTAAAGTTGAAGATTTGTTTACGAAGTAAAAGATGGAGGATATTATGAAAACACTCAAATTACAAATAAAAAGTGTATGTCGATGATCCCGTTCATCATGATCAATGCCGAAAAGACAGTACTTATTGAGTTTTATGGAAGAAAGATAGGGACAACACTTGAAGTTTTTGTTAACGATACGCGTATCACTTCTTCTGAATCTACCAAATTTTTAGGAACATTTGTCGATGATAATATCAGCTGGAAAACGCATGTGAACTCAGTCTGTAAAAAACTGAGCTCAAACTTCTATGCAATGTTTCAATTGAAAAATATACTTGACAAAAATGCCCTTATTGACGTGTACTATGCCATGATACATTCTATTATATCTTACAACATCAATTTATGGGGAAGTAGCACCCACATTGACAGAGTATTCATAGCTCAAAAGCGTGTTATACGACTTATATTCAATTTAAAACGAACCGATTCATGTAGACCCAAATTCAAGGAGTTCGAAATACTTACAACACCATGTATCTACATATATCACGGTGTTGTATATATAAAAAAAATGCAAAGTAAGTTACAAACAAACTCTCAGTTCCACAGATATCCAACAAGAAGTGGTGACTTGCTCAGAACAAAAAAACACAGAACAACTTTATTCGAAAAATCACCTTCATTTTCTGGTATAAGGTATTTCAACTGTCTGCCTACCGAAATTAAAACAATAACTTCACTCCACCTTTTCAAAAGAAGAGTCAAGACATTACTAGCCTCTGAGGGTTTTTATTCAATTATAAATTTTAAAATGTTTTTATTGTTTGTGATCTTGTGTTATATAATGTTCCCACTTTATTCCTTTCTTCAATTTTTTTACATATTATCTACAAAAGTGAACGTTTCATATGTGTTATATATTGTATTTTGTATTGATACCTATATAAATTTTTATGACATATCCTATATCATTGTAAAGTGATCTATTTGGGATGAATAAAATATTGTATTGTATTGTATTGTACGAAGATTGCGAAATGGTAGGGTAGGGATTAGGAAAGTAAATATTTATTTAGGTAAGTTCATGTTTCCAGATGACAAGCTATTTAAACAATATGTTTCGGGTATATATGCAGAAAAGAGAACCTATACCATTCTTTGCTATATGGCTCCAACCACGATGTCCATCGTGACTCCAACTATCTCATTTCATCCGAAACATGCAATAGGAATTTGATTCTAGGTAATATAATCTATCCAGGTTTCAAAGAAATTACGATTCCTGAGATGATGACATCTGATGCCTCCTAGAGCAGTGATTGTGGCAATACTCCGATGATTCGATCTCTTTTATCAAATAAAGTAATCTGTCTTTCTCTCCTAACTGAACAGAGGTCAAATCATCCATTATAAATAACATGGTTGCACACAACTTATTTTTTCATTGTTTATTTTTATAGACATGATCAATTAGGTTTGCACAATAACAATAAAACATAGATAAACAACAAATATTTTTTCTCTCGGAGTCAAAATGACCGAAGGTTATAACTGAATAATTTGGGTGAAGTGAAAGAAATAGGAACTCAAAAATGGTTAATGTTGACGTCATTATGACGTAGTTGCCTCCCACCACTTAAACCAATATACTATAACCGGGTTTAACGGGTAATGTGAATGAAATATCCCTATGGGGGTGAAGTATATTCTATTCTTTATTTTCCTGCACATTTCACGTATTAATTTTGATCAGTCAATTCAGTCAACCCTGGTATACAGTCTGAGAAGAGTCTCTTTTGGTGAAATATATTAAGCTCCCAGTACAATTTATATGTTCCCTAAATCGCAAGGATTGTGCTGGAGTAGTAAACTTTAGAGGCGTGTTCATCTATATCTTGGTACAGTTGAATCAGGAATTCCATATGGAATCTACGTATGATACGCCAGTGACCTCAATATATCCTAAAAAACAACGAATGTCAAAAGTCTAGTGTTTATCCAATGTGTTTATCCCATGTTTATCCCCAGAATAGGTCGCGTGCAAGAACTGTCAGATGACCGACCCTGGAGGCAAAACATATTTTTTTACAAGTGATCGAAATAGTTTTCCACAATTATTTTGGCATATGAATCGTATTTTTCCGCTATTCATCAATTCGCTAATGCCATCACATTGTGCTGTTGTGAAATGCACAAAAACTGCAGCGGAAGATGAAGAAATCCGGATGGTACATTATGATTCAAAAGTAAGTACCTACTATAGACACTCACATAGTTTTCATTTTTGAAATTTGGTTATTTCTCTGATTTCTCATCGGAATTCCTTCTGCAATAGGATCATCTAATAGAAATATACCTGAAATTTCTAGAATAATGCAAGAAGATTGGATTCATGCAATCAATCGGTAGGACTGGTCTGACATGCTGACGATCGTGTGTGTTGTAGACATTTTCAATCTATTAGCAGCATTAGCTTGTATTGCAGAAGTGGCAGAAGGCAGAAGGAATTTTAATAAGGAATGACAACATTTCATAATGCTAACTATGTGAGATTACTATTTACCTGAAAAATCATAATCCCTAGTCTCTTGCTGCATTTTTTGTGCATTGTACAACAGCACAATGCGAAGGCATGCTTGAATTAATGAATAACGCAAGAAACACGATTCGTATGCCAAAATATTGTGAAAAACTATTTCAACCTTTTGATTCCTCTGTAACCAAATAAAAAAGTGAGGTTGTGTTTCAATAATTCACAGAAGAATGAGGTTGTGTTTCAATATTTTGCCTCCAGGGTCGGTCTTCCTGCACGCGACCTATTGAATAAGGATGGAGCCATATAACTGTTTCACAAACACTTCAGAGTGAGAGGAGACGAGGATCTTCGTACCCTGTTAAGATTACTTTAACGTCAATTTCCATCAAGGGACCCACCCTACCTAGATCTAGAGACAGAAGTCGGTCCCGCTTTGCTTCATATGAGTAGTAGATATATGGTGTAGCTGCACGATGAGTCGCGTGCACGATGACCGACCCTGGAGGCAAAATATTGAAATACAACCTCATTCTTCTGTGAATTATTGAAACACAACCTCACTTAAGAGACTAAAGAATGATTCTTCAGGTAAATAGTAATCTCACATAGTTATCATTATGAAATGTTGTCATTCCTTATCAAAATTCCTTCTGCCACTTCTGCAATACAAGCTAATACTGCTAATAGATTGAAAGTGTCTACAACACACACGATCTTTCTATTAGCTCTTATCGCAGAAGGATGAGAAATCAGAGAAATTACCAAATTTTGAAAATGAAAACTATTTGTGAGTGACAATAGTAGGTACTTACTTTTAATCATAATGTACCAACCAGATTACTTCGTCTTCCGCTGCAGATTTTGTGCATTTCACAACAGCATAATGTGATGGCATGAGCGAATTGATGAATAGCGGAAAAATACGATTCCTATGCCATAATAATTGTGAAAAACTATTTCGATCACTTTTAAACAAATAAGAAAAGTGACGTTGTGTTTCAATGTTTTCCCTCCAGTGTAGTTCATCTGACAGTTCTTGCACGCAACCTATGCATTTTACACGACACACGACAGAAAAGCAGACGAAAGAACCTTAGTTCACACGTTTATTATATAGGTTAGGTTGAAAATGAAAATATTATTATTACTACTGCATTCCTCCACATATTCGTTCATTAAATCATAATAAATAGTTCTCCAGAAGAAATTCGAAGTCATATTCGAATAGTTCTGCACCTGCAATGACGACTTTGAACGTTTCTTGGAGCAGTGGCAATAAAGGAATCAATGGAACAATATTGGCCAGGAAGAAAAAAACGGTTGTGAAGAAAATCAGAGAGAAAAATATCTCTCCTAATACTTTCAATAGCTCTGACACGAAAGCAGTTCAAAAATCCAACTCAAATTTGTCCAATCAGTTAGATGCAGAAGTGGATAAAACTAAGGGTACAGATGATTATCAGAGTAGTGACCATCAGTCTACTGAGGGTACCACAAAGTTGATTAAACGGAAACAGAAGAAGGATAGAATCAGTGCTAAGTTGCTAACAAAACAAGGCTTCATCCCCACACAATCTAATGTGAATAATAACCAAACTCATTCTCTATTTTCTGTTGGACATAAAGATTTACATGTAGTACCTAATTCTAGAGGTAAATCAGTTGTAGAAAAAGTTTTCAGTATTGGAAAACAATTTTGTGATCTGGAAATACACAAATATATTGTATCAAATCTAGAAAAAAATGGATTCACAACACTAACAAATATACAAGAAAAGTCCATACCAATCATCCTGGCAGGAAATAATGTTTTGGTATGTTAGTCTCTTATTCATAAAACTGCATCAAAATAATTTCTTCATTAGGTACGTTCACAAACTGGATCAGGTAAAACCTTAGCTTATGGTGTCCCAATCTTGGAAGCACTGCAAAATATTAATCCAAGATTGAAAAGAAGTGATGGTGTTCTTGCCTTGATAATAGTACCAACCCGTGAATTAGCATTACAAACACATGAGCTGTTTGGTAAAATAAATGTGAGTATGAATAGAAGGTGTAGTGGGGTGATGGGGACCAAAATTTCAGGAGGTGACCTTTAGTGTGGATTTATGCAGCCTCATTTAACAGTTATCATTTTACAATTAACAATTATAAGTTGAATTTCATATTTTCCAATGACTGTGTTTATGCAGACATTTAAAAATTATCATTTATCATGTAACATGTAGATTGTTGGCCAACTTTTAACTTCTTACATTAAATGAATCAGATTTTCCTATTTATCTTGGATTGGTCTGCCTGGTAATGATATTAACCTGAAAATTAAATGTCATGCCATCAAAACAGCATCATCAGGACAAAAAGCTCTTCTGCCTCTTCCATTTCAGGAAACAAATGTTCATATGTTTATAACATTTGAGAATGTATTATTTTTTTTACATAAAAAAGGAGGGTTATAGGTTGAAAAGACTGACTCGTGCACTTGCATATAATTTCTTCTTAAATGTTAATTTGGTCTGCATAGATGGTACCATTTTCGCTACTTGTTAGGTGATAAATGCTGGGATAAATGTTAATTGATAATTGTTACATGATACATGTTAAATGATGCTGCATAAATCCACACTATTAGAATCACATAACTTCAAACAATTGAGATATAGAAGTTTGCAAAGATTATTCATTTGGATAGTGACATCCAAATGAGTTAATCTAGGTCCAACTACATGGTTCCAGTTCCAATTTTTTTTTTCTGAAATTCATGATATCAAAATAAGGAGCCAAAAATCTAGATTTATTAATTCTTACAGAAACAGGAAACCTTGAGAAAAAATGATAGCTCATTTCAGATTCAAAAGAACAAAAAAAAAAACAAATGATTATATCTACAGCAGATTTCTAATTTCAGAAAAGAAAAAATTCTTGCATGTTGAATGACTTCAATTAGGAGTACACACAGAACTCAAAGACCTAGAAGGCCAATATCATTTTATTCCAGTGTTTCCTAAGGTGGCTGGAACAGCAAATGTGAGCATGCTCAGTAAAGATGCAATCATGCTAGGGGTGGATTCAGAATTATCTGATTACCAGAAAGAGCAGAACATTGAGAAAAATTCATATGATATTTGTTATTAGGAGTAATGTTTCAATGTATTTTCCATCAACTAAAGTGTTCATAGGATAGAAATGGATGAGCTAATATACAAGGTGGTTCAGGCTATTTTAGCAATAATTCACCATGGTTCATCAAAAATGATTCAGCATGCATATTATAATTCTTTAAAAAAGCTCCTCCAGGGATAGATAAATCTGTCCACTTCAATAAATCATTTTGATGCTATGATTCTCAAAACATTATACAAAATTTCCTGCAAATACTTATGGAATGGTTACCCTGATCAGTGTTTGACGCTAAGTTTTGTTAAAATTGTCCAGTGGAATAGATACAGGGGAGATATTTCATTTTGCCGCCCTATTTATTAAATCACTGAAAATTTTTCAGAATTCCTGTTCAGTTCAGAAAGAGAGGTACTCTTGAGTAATTTTGATTTGGGGCTTCCTTTACCAGTTGATTGAATTTTGAAAAAACCAACACCTCACGAAAATTGGATAGTTCAATTGGGTTCAATTGTAGAAAAAACAGGACTCAACTTCTCAATAGTGGCATCTCAAACCAAGGCAGTCATCCAAGCAATGTGACAATTCTTGGTGAGCCTAAAATTTGATTCAATATCATTAATTCCAGAGATATGTTACTTCTTACCAAGCACAGAACTCCTAAGGAAATGCTCTAAATCATAAGAGTGGGAAATCATCATTTTTTCTTTACTAGAATAGAATAGAACTTTATTTACGGTTATCCATTGCATACATTATAATCACAAATATTATTACAAGATGGGAAAAAATATACCTATGCAGCAGCTGCATCTAGGAGTACAGAAACACTAGTGATAAAACCCAAAGAGAAACAGGACAGTAATCTAACAAAAAATGATTTGAAAGACGCAATTGATCCAAAAAAATCAGCAATGGCGATCGAAAATATCAGGGAAGGAAAAGAGGGAACAGTTATCATAAACTGCAGTAATACAAATACAAAGGCGAAAATAAGACAAAAAGTGGAAACTGAACTTGGGAATAAATACAGCATCAAGGACGGGGTACAAAAAAATCCTAAAATAATTATACGTGGGGTGGAGGAAGAACTTATTGATGGGGAAGATAAGTCTATCATTGATTGTTTGGTGGAACAAAACGACTTAGACATCTCAGATACGTCAGTCTTCCAAGTAGTGTCTAAATATAAGCAAAAAGATAAAATAAACAAGGGAAACATAATTCTTACCCTGAGTGTTGAACTGAAAGATAAAATATGTCAAATGGGAAAACTAAACATTGGATGGCGAAGGTGTATGACCCATGAGTATTTCTCAATAATGAGATGTTATCAATGTGCAAGATATGGTCATAAAGCAAGTGACTGCAAAAATAATGTTGTCTGTTACAAATGTGCCGGGCCTCACAAAACGAATGAATGTGTCAGTGAAACCTTGAAATGTATCAACTGTGAAGAAACAAACAAAAGGCTGAAAAAATCACTGCAATCCAACCATTCTGCTACTGATTCAGAGTGTCCATGTCTCAAGAGAATCTTAGGATTGGAAGCTAACAAAACTAAGCGTTCCTAGCAATCACCGATCGTGGAAGCTCCAGATATGACTGGGTTTAAATTATCCCTATATCATCAAAATGTACAAGGTATTTCAAACTGTATAAATAACATTGCAGTGATAGCTAATGAATTGAATGTGAATCTTATTGCGGTCACGGAACACTGGCAATCTTCAAGTAGTATAGGGTCATACCAACTAGAGAATTTCAACTTGGTGTCGTCGTTCTGTCGATCTGCTGATAATGCTCATGGTGGTGTTGCTCTATATGCTCATAACTCTCTCAAATCCTTCCAAAGACTTGACATCAATGCTATTTGTGAGGAATATATTTTTGAATGCTCTGCAGTGGAATTTAGGGTCAATAACACTTATTATGTTATATGTGTCGTGTATAAACCTACTGCAACTAATTTAACTTGCTTCATAGATAAATTGGACAAATTATTGGAAATCGCCACTGAAGATAATAAAACAGTTATAGTTGCTGGAGATTTCAACATCGACATGTTAACAACTGCAAAAAATCTGAAAAATAGAGATATTATGAATAACCTACTGAATTGTTATAATATGAGAGCAGTAATACAAGAACCAACAAGAGTCACCAAACATAGCTCAACCTGTTTAGACAATATTCTCGTTTCAAATCTATTGATATATCACTCTGAAGTTCTAAATACAAACATATCAGATCACCATGGTCAACATATATGTATAAATATAGATAGTAGAAACTCCCAAGAAACTTATGAGTACAAAAGATTTTTTGGAACAAAAAATTATGAACGTTTATTCACACTTCTCGAAAATGAAACTTGGTACACAGTTTATGAAGCCCGATCGGTTGATGATATGTACAATAGTTTCATATTTTCCCTTTCAGGTTTTTTTAATATCGCATTTCCGTTAAAAAGGGTCAGAGTAACCAAAAACTCAAAACCAACATGGATGACACAAAATATTTTAGATGCTAAAAATACTCTAAACCTCTGCTCAGAACTTTATCAGCACAACCAAATAACAAAACAAGTTTTCACTGACCATAAACAAGCATATTCCAATCTACTTCTGAATGAGAAAAAAAAATACTATGGCGAGAAGATTTCACAGTCAGATAACAAAACCAAAACTATCTGGAGTATTGTTAATACTGAAACGGGCAAGAAAAAAGAATCTACATCAAGCTTCAATGGCATAAAAAATGAAAATGATGAATTGATAACATCACCAAAACAGGCAAGTAATCTTTTCAATCAATATTTCACGACTGTGGCAGCTCAAATGGTGGGAGATCTCCCAAAAAATATGGATGCACATCAAAGAAATATAAGAGAAAATCTGAACTCTATCTATTTGTCAGAAGTCACACAAGAAGAAATTTTAGAGATTATATCCTGCATGAAAAACAAGTACTCTTCAGGTGATGATAATATAAGTAACGTCTTGCTGAAAAAAATTGGAAAATTCATAGTGGAGCCCATAACGTATATTCTTAATGAATCAATCAGATTTGGTATATTTCCCTCTAGGCTGAAAACTGCAATCGTCAAACCCCTTTTTAAAAAAGGGGACCCTCAACTAATTGAAAACCATCGTCCTATAAGCATGCTTTCTAGTTTTTCAAAACTCTTTGAAATTGTAATGTGCAGACGACCCAGGTAACACGGTACTCTCCGCGATATCTCTAAGTAGTTATCTTCAGGATCAAAATGCGAAATCCTTCTGCGAGGTATCAAAGATCACTATAGGCTGTCACCATGGGAAATACTCTCTGGAGTCGTCCGAAAGAAATCGCGGAGATCTCGCCTCAGATTTGATATATTCCTCATTATTGCGAATCCTTGAGGTTATCTATAACAGGAAATGAATAGGCATTTCTTTCTGCGAGCACCCAAAGATATCCTGGACGTAACAGAATATTCCTACAAAAATATTGAGTTGTTTTTTTCAAAAGCCTTTATAATTCAAATACTGGGTGTCCCGAGGGGTGTCCCAAGTTATCGTTTACAGGCAATATCTCGCCTATTTGTCAAGATATCAAAAGCATTAAAAAACTGCATTAAATGGCATTAAATAACCTTCCTAATGGCTTATGAAGAATGTGATATATTTGGCAGCCCCCGGATGGTAGATACTGATCTAGTAGCATATTGTCTCTGAAAATTGCATGTCAATCTATTTGGAATACAACGATATAACACACACTTTGTGTTTTGTTCTTGATAACAACAAAAACATGAACATTTTGTGACTTTTTTACGTTACTCAAATGACAAATTGCTTTCACCCATGTGTTCAAGAAGTTCACAAATAAGAAGTATGGATTGCATTTTTGTTTCAAAATATTAATGACAGATATT